AAAAATGCCCACTTCTCTTTGAAAGTCTTTTTAGATACCAGACAGTTCAACCTTGAATGTTTAATATTTCCAAAACTGGATTTTGTTTTAAACTTTAGAATTCTTAAAATTTTTAATTTATTTATTGTTAAAGATGATGTACAGAGGGGTTACAGTTACATAAGTCAGCTAAAGAGTACATCTCTTTTTGAACAATGTCCTCCCTAAACTTCAGAATTTAGATTTGAAAATAAAAGCCTTGCTTTTTAAAAAGAGAAAAGATTGCTTGTTTAAAGGAATGGCTTAGGTTTTAGAAATTTCCTTCACATTTTAGAGGTCTGGGTAAATGTACCAAGAATGTCTAAATATTTTCTGCTATTCAAAACTGTCAAGATGCCTAATTTTTTATTCCTTGAGAGGTCACAAATTTCTACACTGCTATGATACTTTTAGAATCACCTCTAAAGCATTTAAAATCCATCACATTCCTAATTTTATTTAGTTATTTCCTGGAAGGAATAATAAGTAGTGAAAACCAAACACCTCCTAAATCAATCTATTTAGAAAGTAAGTAGCATAGCCATTCTTCAAAGACCTTTGCCTGCTTTTGCTATCATTTCGATTGGAATTGGATGTTTTAGGGAAAAGCTATAATAAAATTAGACACAAATAGTTGGCCTATTTCCCAACAGTATCTTCACACTTACAAGTAATTTGGAAGATACTGATCCAAAGAAACTCTTATTTTTTTAAATGCAATGTTTTTTCCCTGTGTTTTTTAAATTAGGCTTCACAAGGAACTCAGGACACCAAAGTGCAGCCAACTGGCCCTCTGCTAGGCAGTAAAGTAGCTGGGGTACACACCCACACGGAAGGTCAGACAACCACAAGGACTTCATGGGCATCTTCACTGGGAGGTCTAGGAACCCAGCTCCCATGGAACCTTCAAAGAGGGTTAAGAGAATCCTTACAGAAAGAAAACCCATGTTTGCCACTGGAGGTGAACACCTTCTGAAGCAGTGAGCTGAACTGTGGCATCAGCTGATCAGCTTTAAATGTCAGAGACTGACCTAAAGTTCCTCCTAAGAGTAACTCCCTCCCACTCTAGGAGGAAAAGCCTGCAGGGAGAACTTTGCCAGAGAAAAACAAATGGCTTCAGACATTTTTTCCTATATTGTACTTTCCAGGAATTATGTAACTGCTTCTCCTTAAGATAAACAAATCCATTCTGGGACAGGTTGGGTTTTCAAGAGGAATTCAGGATTGAAACCTCAAGCTGGGTTTGAGCAGGGTCTATCCATGACCATCAGACAGCAGGTGATACCCCCATCTCCACCCCAAGCTCCCTCAGGACAGATAGAGTTCTTGCTTTGTGCTTTTTTATCCAAAGTGGAACCTCACAGTTACCACCCCTCATACAGTCCTAAAAGGAAGCAGTTAAGAGTCCAAGGACCTTCTGGACTCTACTCCCTCCAAAGTATACATGTCAGGGTTGCTCTGCAATACTGAGACAAGTGCTACATTTCTTCCAAATGGGAGCAGGCAACTGTCATGAGAAAGAATAAAAGGACAGAACCACAGGCTGGGCTCACTCAGAGCCACATCAGGAAAGCCAAGCAGGAGAGTCCAGGACTCCAGGATGCTCTGTGAAGCACTTGCCAGGGAGAGGCAGCTGGGATGACGTGATCTAGGAGAAGGAGAGCTGTATCTATCCCGGCACTGAGTGGCAAGAGGCGCAAAGGCCAGGGAATGCTGACCAATGACCCTGGAAACCCAAAGAAGCACTTCTTTGTGACCCAACAACAGAGAACATCACTAAAAAAAGAAAAGGCTTGAACAGATGCCATCCACTTCAGATAATACCTGGTCACCCACAATTCACAAATGGTAGAAAACATACAGAGACAACCACATGGAGGGATAGGAAAAAATGATCTGCACAGCAGAAACAGGAAATCAGAAGAAGTAGTGTCCAGAGTTTAGGGCTGATAGCTAGACCATCTGGACCTGGACCTGGCTTTATCATTTTCTGGTTATGTGACCCCAGGCAACCTCTCAGTGCCTGTGCTGTTGTGAACATTCAATGAGCTCGTGTTTTCAAATGCCTAACAAAATGCTAGGCACAGAGGGCAGCCCATACCTGGCAGCTCTCATGAGCATTCTTGTTAGAGAAAAGAAGCCATTGTTAACAATCCTGGATCACCTCCACTAATTCAGCCATTAGACAGAAGTGGGTATAGTGGTACACACCTATGATCCCAATATTCAGGAGGCAGAGACAGAAGGATTTCAAGTTGGATACCATGCTGGGCTACATAGCAAGACTCTGTTTGTTTGTTTTTTAAAGGAACAAATAAAAACATAAACAATAGATGGCAGCAAGTTATTCTCACTCTGTACCACAATCCCATCCCTTGATTGATAGCCTCTTGTAAAGTTAGGATGGACTAACTTCTCTCAACCTGAAATGGGGAACCGACAACCATCAAGTAGAAAGACGGTGTTGTTTTGGCAAGCAGAAGAAAAGAATAAGGAGAGGGTGAGAAAGTATGAAAAAAGAAAGCACAGAATGCAATTTAGTTCAACTATACAGCATAAGAATAAACAAATATGAAAGAGTTATCTACCATAGGAAAAGGCAAGGTCCAACTACATGCTCTTTTCAAGTATCATGCCTAAAACACAGAAACTTAAAACATTAAAATCTAAAATTCAATGAAATATAATTTATAGGATAAAAATGGAAAATAAGATATCACACAGAAAAACTGAAATGACAATTGCAGAATAGTAGAGTATCATTGAGAATGTTATGTACCCAAACATGTAGGATGCAACAAAAGCAGCAATTATAGGAAAAAGGATAGCCTTGACTATTTTGCATATTAAAGTGAGAAGAATTACATATATTCCATACTGTATCAAATTCATATTTCATTAAATTTAAATGTCATCTATTATGAGGTGTATCTTTCGTGTATCACTAAGAAAAAGTGCTGCCAGTTAAATAATGTTAGAAGGTGTTATCAATTGAAAGATGCATCCTCCTTTCAGAGGTGCTAAAAAAAGATGTTAGAAAAAAAGAATAAAAAGACTTTACTCCCTAAAATTAATATAACCCTAAGGCCAAAACTCTAAGCAGTTTCCATTTATCAAGTTGGCAAAGAAACAAAGAAGGAAGAGAAGGAGGGAGGGAGGAGAGGCACAGTGTGCGTGTGGGAGAAAGATGATTTCATCTCTCTCTAATGAACATGTGAGCTGACACACCTTCCTGGAGAGCATTTTGAAAATGTACATGAAAACACACATTTGTGCACGAGTTTGGTTCTGAACCACAGTTTGAGGAAATTATCACAAGGCAAGGTAATAACAAAAGAGTTTTTGTGACAAAACTTTTACTACAAAAAGTACAGAAATAAGTTAAGTGGTCAATATTAGAAAGCAGAATCAAGTTTGACAAGTCCATCTGATGGAGTCACAGCACAGAAATGAAGATGATAACGTTAGGTGTGATGATAGAGTGAATGTGCTTTGGATCTGCACAAATGAATGGTAAGGAGCAAAATACTTCAGGTGGAATAATGAATGGGTAATATTTTTTTCTTTTCCTAATTCCTTACATTAAACATATACAATTTTCTAACCAGCAAAATCTATCCAGAATATCATGAGCCAGGATACCAGAAAGAAGACACTCGCATATCTATGTTCACTACTGCACTATTCACAATAGCCAAGTTATGGAAACAGCCCTGATGCCCTACAATAGATCAGTGGATCCAAAAATGGGTACCTACATACAATGGAATATTACACAGCCATTAGAAAGAATAATATTGTGTCATTTGCAGGGAAATGAATGGACCTAGAACAAATCATTTTAAGTGAGGTAAGCTAATGACACATTGTGAGAAAGACAAATGGCACATGTTTTTTGTCATATGCAGAAGCTAGCTCTAAAATACACTGGAGCATTCACACACAGTGAGACAATCCTTAGAGGAGGAACACAAAGGTGCAATGCCTCTGTGCCTCTGATCATATAAAATAATATTTATCAAGCCAGGAGCTAGTGGCTCACACCTGTAATCCTAACTATTCAGGAGGCTGAGATCTAAGGATCGTGGTTCAAAGCCAGCCGAGGCAGGAAAGTCCATGAGACTCTTATCTCCAATTAATCACAGAAAAAGCTGGAATTGGTGCTGTAGCTCAAGTTGTAGAGTCCTAGCCTTGAGCAAAAAGTTGCTCAAAGACAGTGCCTAGACCCAGAGTTCAAGCCCCATAACTGGCCAATAATAATAGTAGTAATAATAGTAATAAAATTTGTCAAAATGAACTCCAAGACATGGAAACAAGAGATTTTTTTCCTTTATTGTTGTTTTTGTTTTCTTTTTTTGTCTTGTTTGTTCATATATCTGTCTTTTGGAGGGTAAGGGGAGACACAGGAATGGAGGGAACAAATACAGCAGTACTCAGTAGAAACTATGTAGAAAATGAACTATACGACTTGTGAGTAGGGACAGGAGGGAAAAACTGGGAGAGAGTGAGAGAAGGGGTGACACTGTCTAAAAAGAAATGTACTTATTGCCTGACTTATATAACTATAATCCCTCTACACATCACCTTTATAATAACAATAAAAATTTCAAAAATCAGTTGATACTAGAATTTTACTAGTACAAATCTTATGAAACATGTAAATAGCACTCAGAGAACCAGAACACAGGTTTGCACCTGGGTTCCCATCGCTGTGACCTGTCTGGGCTATACCCTAGGAGGCTGGGGTTCACAGATCACATATATAAGATGCATAATATCCCTTGTTTCTTCCTCACAGCTGGGTTTCCAACCCAGGGAAGTATAAACAGTATGTTCCAATCCAAGAAGCCAACCAGTTGCCTCTTTACCCAATGATCCCTGCTGCTTCCTGGAAATTCCTCAACTAGAAACTGTAAAAACATCTTAATTAGCACTGAGCATGTTTCTTAAAAAAATAATAATAAGCCAATTCAAACTCTTACCTAGATAGGGAATGCTGGGCACCATCTTCAGGCTTCGAATATATTCCCGAGTCCGTTTATAATTATCTTCCTTGGACATCAGGTAGTCCAATTTCTCAAAGGTGGTCTTGTCTTTTCTATTCAAAAGCTGGAATAAGAAGAAATTATAGAGCATAAGAGAAAAAAAGAAATAAAGCAGAGAAACTAAAGGGAGAGGAGAGCTGAGAGCAAAGAACAAAAAAGAAACATCTTAAAGGGTATGGTGATGGTGTGCCAATTCCTGGTACAAATCAAGATGTTAAAAGGCTGCTTCATGTGGAGATAGGAAGTTTCCTAGCCTCAGGCTTGTCATTTTTACAAACGCTCACATGGAAGGTAACCACCACATTACCTAGCCAGCCCCCCATCCCCTACAGAACTGATCTCCCTCAGGTACAGAGACTCAACCTGAGCATGGAACTCAGAGAGTGAAGCTGACAGCTCAAAGTCACCTGGAAACTATATTATAGGTATACCAGGTGTCCTTCCTTGAGTTCTACCACTTCCCCCACCCTCCATTGTGGCAGAAGGTGCCAGGACCTTTCATGTGACTCACATGAACACAGTGAGGACAGTGCTCCAAACTATGCTGTCTTCTTCAGAGTCCCTAGCACCTACCTATGTCATATTTCACTAGGTAGGGTATAATTTTTTTAAAAGGACAACTTTATCTTCCACAAGTAGTCATCTACTGATTGACCTAGTTAAGCACCCAGCATGAGGAGGTACCCACAGCCAGTGAGGAGAGAAGTAAGTTTCTTGGAGAGTTATCTTGCAGAGGCATAAAGTTGGTGACCTTGGAGAGTGTACACCAAGTCTGGGAAAGGAAGGAGTAGAATTCAAAACTCCTAGGAAGGGGCTGGGAAGGTGGCTCAGTGGTAGAGTGCTTGCCTTGCATGCCTGAGGCCCTGGGTTCGATTCCTCTGCACCACATAAGCAAAAAGAAAAAAGCCGGAAGTGGCACTGTGGCTCAAGTGGTAGAGCGCTAGCCTTGAGCTGAAGAGCTGAGGGACAGTGTTCAGGCCCCATGACCAGACCCCAAAAAAATAATTAAACAAAATCCTAGGGACCAAGACTTGATGTGAAGGACTTATGTTGGTGGGAGTCCTGCATGTCTCAAGTCAAGGTCCAATACCAGAAATAGCGGCAGGTCTCCCCAAACACAATGACTTTAAGAAGGGAGTCCCGGGGCTGGGAAGGTGGCTCAGTGGTAGAGTGCTCGTCTTGCATGCATGAAGCCCTGGGTTCGATTCCTCAGCACCACATAAGCAAAAAAAAAAAAAAAAAAGGAGTCCCAAGACTGGGAGGCTGGACTTGGGAGGAGGGACTAGGGTGGCCACTGGAGACCAGGGGGGCTGGCTTTGTCACACATGTGGTTGATGCTGGCAATGCCCTCAAGTCCAGCTGCCAGGGCCAGTGCTTCTGGAGTTGGTGGCTCAGGGCTAAGCCTTGACTAAGCATCCTTGACTAAACTTCATCTTGAAAAATCTCTATAGTCTGTGCAAAGACCTAGACCAACAGACTGTGGAACAGACTGTGTTCCAATGCCCCACCTTGCATCAAGGCCAAGTGTAACAATGACTGCACAGCACTGGGGGGAACTACAGCTCCTGGGACCTGGGTTTGAGGATCCCCAGGCAGCAACATCCAGGCTGCTTTGGCCAGGCCTTGCTTAATTCCTCCATGATCTTCATGAGACAGCCATGAGATCAACCCTGAGACAGCCCCGTGTAGACAAGCAGTGATAGTCTTTCAGAGAAAAGGTAGAAGAACAATTGAAAGGAAGTTTTCAGTGCTGAAAACAATGGAGATCTTTTTTTTCCCACTAAATAAAAACAAAACACAAAACACAAAAAACAGGATACATCAGAGTAGGATGCTAGCAGATGCTATGAACAGCAGCTGCTTAACTGGCTTGTTAATTTGAGGCTGTAATTCATTACAGTAACAAATGGACAGGAAATACCATCTTGAATTAGCTGTTTGTAAACACTGTTGTAAACAACCCATCTAATCTTTACAAAGCCTAGAGGGAAAGGATCCAAGACTGTTGTCTCTACTTCAGTTTCATAATCACAAGAATTAGGTGATTTGTCTGTACATACTTGGGAAATTTGATTCAATAGAAAAATGAGATATGTTTTATAGCAATATGGTAAATGAGTAGAGACCATGGACCTAAATAAGTTGCCATCAAGAGAAGTGTCAAGAAGAGATAGAGAGGTGGCATTTGAAATGATCACTTAAGAATGACAAAGTCACTCTGGCACCAGAGACTCATGCCTCTGAATATCCTAGATATTCAGTCAGCTGAGATCTGGAGGACTGAAGTTGGAAGCTAGCCTGGGTAGGAAAGTCCTCAAGATTCAACCATGAGCCACACCAGGATATGAACTCAAAGTCCCTAAGTTTAAGCCCCAAAGAACAACAAATTTGCCGGGTCTTGGTGTGGCTCATTCCTGTAATCCTAGCTACTCAGGAAGCTGAGATATGAAGACCGCCACTCAAAGCCAGTCCAGGAAGAAAAGCCCATGAGACTTATTTCCAATTAACAAGCATGAAGCCAGAATTAGATCTGTGGCTCAAATGGTAGAACACTAGCCTCAAACATAAAAAGTTCAAGGACAGTGCCTAGGCCCTAGGGCTGGTACACAGACATACATGAATACATACAGAATGACAAAGAATGGCAAATTCAGCCAGGCAACAGTGGCTCACACCTGAAAATCCTAGCTATTCAATCTGCTGAGATTGGAAGGCTAGTTTGGAAGCTAGCCTGGACAGAAATTTCAGTCCTGAAGACTCAATTATCAGCTATACCAGGATAACAAGGTCCCTGAATTTAAGCTCCTAAAGAATGATGAATCTGCCAGAAGCTAGTGGCTCATGCCTGTAATTCTAGCTACTCAGAAGGCTGAGATCTGAGGATTGTGCCCGGACAGGAAAGTCCATGAGACTTTGCATGAGACAAATTTACCAAATAATTCATACCCAGTGCAGAACCACTTACCTGGTGTGTACTACCCCCACCCCCTTTGTGAAATTAATCAGGCCCTCACCTAAGTGTTCAGTAAGTTTTTTGTTTTGTTTTGTTTTGGGGGGGGGTTCTTTTTGTGCCAATCCTGGAGCTTGAACTCAGGGCCTGGGTGCTATCCCAAAGTACTCTACCATGTGAGCTTAACTTCTGGCTTTTATGGTAGTTAATTGGAGACGGGCATTTCACAGACTTTTCTGCCCTGGCTGGCTTCGAACTGCAATCCTTATAACTCAGCTCCCTGAGTAGTTAGAAGTGTAAGTGTGAGCCTCCAGCACCCTATTAATGTGCTGATTTCTTTGCAAGCATTTACATTTGCCCAGCAGTTGAACCAACCCTGATGTCCTTATCCACTCCAACTAAATCATGCCAGTATACAGTGCCTACATTTCTTTAGTTTCAGCTGCATCACTGCCCAGGCCCCTGTGATGTTTAGCTTGCTTAGTTCTAGTCCAGTAACCGCAGAGATGCATCCTGTCACTTGTGCCCTCCCACACTCAGAAGAGCTAGATCTGGTTAACCTCATTGGTCCATTAAGTGCCTACAAATGAGATTCAAGACAGTGGCAGATTGCTCAAGAATAATGCATGAATTGCTAGGAAATATTAAGAAACTTTCTGTTTGTTTTGCCAGTTCTGGGGCTTGAACTCAGGGCCTGGGCACTGTCCCTGAGCTTTTGTACTCAAGACTAACACTCTATCACTTGAGCCACAGCACCACTTCTGGAGTTTTCTGTTTATGTAGTACTGAGGAACTCTATCACTAAGCCACGTCCCCAGCCCACATATTTCTCATGATAGATTTGAAAACTGAAAATTTCCTTTAGCAATATGAAGGAATAAACTAGGGGCAGTAAGAAATATACAGGCAACAGTAGGTCCAATCCAGGGATGATAAAGGAGATTCTGGGCTGCTCAATGAGTATCAGTCCTTAAGACAACTAACTAGTCCACAACGAATCAAGCCTGGATGGACATCTCAAAAAAAAAAAAAAAGGGCTGGGAAGGTAGCTCGATGGTAGAGCATTTGCCTTGCATGCCTGAGGCCCTGGGTTCGATTCCTCAGCACCACATAAGCAAAAAGAAAAAAGCCGGAAGTGGCGCTGTGGCTCAAGTGGTAGAGCACCAGAGTTCAGGCCCCATGACTGGACCCAAAAATAAAAATTAAAAAAAAAAGAAGATTCCCTATGATGGCATACTTGGGGTATGGAGGAGGCATAAATAACAAAAAATAAAGACCATTATAAAAATTTGCATGGATATGTGTGTCTAATAAACAAATGGTCAATAAGGAGAGAGAGAGAGAGAGAGAGAGAGAGAGAGAGAGAGGATGGTGCTAGGTATTGAAGCTAGGACCTTCTACCATGCTAGGCAAGGGCTCTACCACTACACTACATCCCTGGTCCAAGAACTATGTTTTTTTCAAGGAAATTAGAATATCCAGGAGGATGAGAAAATATTCAAGATCATGTTATAATTTATTACTTGTCTATATAGAAAAGTATATTTACTTACTCCTAACCTTAAGATACTACTCATTTAACAAAACTGATTTAACTATAGTAATGTATTTTTGAAGAAAGAAAGAGTAGTTCTAGGGACTAAACAAATCTATCATGCGAAAATGTCACTAGATACTCTCTAAAGTGGATGGGGAAATTGTGGCAAATGCACATGCGTGTAAGTGTGGCAGATACCAGAAGAAGCTGCTGGGTGGCTGGGAGTGGCTGCCTCTGGGGAGGGTGAGTGGGAGGCAGTGCAGAGAGTCAGTTATTTCACTAAGCCTTTCAGTACTTAGTGATTTTAAAAAATTAATGTGCACATATTATGCTGATAAAAAGCCTTTTGAGATTTAGTTTCTTAAATATAGAGTTTGTTTACTCAGAAAATAACAGCATTTATTTACACATGTTTTAAACTTTTACTACAAGTAGAACCACAAACTGTAAACCTCACATGAATTGAGGTCCTTTAGATTTTAGAGTTTATGGAAAGCCTCAGAAATAAGCCATCAGAACTACATATGAGAAAATAGATTACTTGCTTACCAGGAGTCAAACAGATACTAAAACCATT